ACGTCGAACCCACGTTTCTGGCCACCGCCGGCCAGGCTCTGGTCAGGCCTGGTGCGTAATAGCAGCTGGGCCGCTCTCGCTGAGCTGTGGCCCATTCGGTGCTCATTCTCTTCCGCTCGAACAGATGTCATCAAGGAGGACAAGTGGTTCGTGGAAAACGGTGGAGGCGGGTGGAAGCTGTTGCAGGGCGACAATGTGGGACCCAACGTGGCGCTGTCCGGGCAAAACGTGCTGCAGGCCTCTCATGACTGGTGCAGGTACGCACGCGCGCAGAGTCGTGAGCTCTGCCCAGAGGCAGGCCGCTCATTTGTTCCCTTTGTCTGTGCGTGCTGGCGTGCAGACGAGGGAGGGAGTTTGATCTCGTGCAGCTGCTCGACAGCGAAATCGGCCGAAGAGGCGTCTCAGGCTTCGATACCGCGGGTCTGCTCGACCGGTTCCCGCCGAGCGTCTCCTTTGGGGAGTGGTACCGATCCCTCATCAATGTCCCTCGTTTCGTAGTGGCCCAATGGTTCGAGCGTGCCTTGGTGGTCTCGTCGCGCAGGTACGCTGGTGGGCCTCCGAACTGCGCGGACCTGTTCTATCTAAAGGTGCTCCACTGTGCCCCCCCGGACATGTGTAGTTCTCACCCACCAACTCATCAAACAGGTGGAGCTGCGCGACGGTGACCACAAGCCACTGATGTCGTTTGACTCGACAGTCCTCACGGCAGTCCCAGAGTGGCGGCTGGTCTCCTCCACGCTCTTTGGCTTCGGGCCCGGCGTTCGATATCTCTACTGGGAGGTACGGACCCTGGGTTCCCTCCCCTGCCTAACTTTCTTGGCTAACTTCACCCATTTGCTGGCGCGACTGACGCTCACGTTGGGTGCGCGCGTGTGAACCACAGGACGGGGCCAAGGACGTGGAGAACTGGGCGGGCCACTTCGGGACCAAGATAGCCGGCGCCTTCCTGGAGTTCAAGTGGCACCCCAACGACCAGCTCGCACGTACGTTCGTTCATATTCATCCCCCCCAACACGGTGCTGAGGGTGGTTGGCACCCAGGCTTGGGCATCAGGGAGAGCATCGCGAGCTACCTGCCGGAGAGGGAGGCGCCCTGCGCCCTGCCCTTCTACACCAACTTCGACCAGGGAGTCGGACACCGGCTCTTCAGCGCGGGCGAGGTACGAGCGCGCACTACCCTCCCCCGACTTGCGGGAGCAGTTGGCTAACCGCCACCTGGCGGGAGACAGCTGGTGCGCGAGGGGGAGTGGAGCCACCTCAGCCGGCAGAGCCTGCAGCCCACGTACCGCTATGGCCAACGGTACCACTCCACGCCCCCCGCAACCGCTCAGCCGTGCAGCTGCTGAATCCCGACCCCCCCTCGAACACACTCCAGGGTGGCCAGTTGTGGCGACTGCATTGAGTTCGGCATTGGGCACGACCTGGCCTTTGAAGGCGGTTCGTGTCTGCTGGTGTCGGGCCAGTTCGACAGCCGGGTCCCGGCGCCCGGAGAGGCGCCCTATCAGCTCGCGCGGCTGTTCAAGACCTGCCTCGCCCTGCCCACCGGTGATCGGTCCGCGCTGCTGCTGGTCTCCATCACGCATCGCCCAGAGACCCCCAACGCTACGGTCGAGCTCGTGCTGGAGCTCGACGACGCCTCGCTCGTTCGGCTGGCCACGCCTACACGCTCCCCAGCCCGCCCACTGCTCGAGGGTAAGACGGCGGGCGAAGTGCTCGTGATCGAGGCCGCGCACGTCGATCGCCTCCACGGCTGGGACCGAGCCGCGTATCGGGTGCCGGCCGATGTTCTGGGCGGGCGACGCGTCGTGGGCCTGGCACTGCTCAGCCAGGATCTCACTCGCGAGCCCTCGCGCGCCAGTACGGGCCTGACCGCGTTCAAGGCGCGCGTGGGCGAGATTCGCATCAACTCGGCCCAGCCGACGCAAGACGAGAATCAGCCGACCTCGACGGCGGCAGCGTCGTGGTGGTTCCCGCGGCCGCCACCGGTGTGCCGCTTGCAGGGGAGGACATCGTGGACCATCGCCTCGCTCCACCCCCACCTGGCCAGCAGCGCCAACCTCGCCCAAGAAGAGGAAAGCGGCGGCGCTAAGGAGGTGCGCCTGGCCAACGTGTGGCTGACGTGGGAGCGCCCCACCGCTGCCGACAGAGCCCAGGTGCGCTTCGCTTCACCCATCAATGTGTTCTGTGTGTGTGGTTGCTGATGTTGCGTGTTGTTGGAATGGAAATGCAGGAGGTGGAGAGCTGCGACGTCTACTTCGCGGGCAAGTTCTTGGGGCGGAGCTATGCCAACGGGTACTTTGCCGAGAACGTATTATATGAGGCGCCGACCCGCGCCGACGACAGCGAAGGAGAGGTAGGAGAAAAGGAGGTGGTGGGAGAATTCGCAGTTGTAAGTGTGAGCCCTCTGGGCGTAACACAGCGCATGGCGGACGCCGCGCGGGTGGTGGTCAAGTGGTGACAGGCCTGGCCTTCACGTCATCAATCATCAGCACACCGAAGTAAAGGTCTCCTCGTCGACCTTGCCCTTGGCCTTCTCCTCGTCGGTCTCCTCCTTGCGCTCGGCGGACTTGGTCTCCATGGCCGGAGCAGAGCGCGGCGCCGTGGGGCTCGCGGCGCCGTGCCGCTCGTAGAGGGCCTCGTAGGCCGTGACCAGGTCGGAGCCCAGCTTCTCGAGGATGCTCTTAGTGTGGATCTCGCGCACGACAATGCGCAAGATGGTCTTGGTCTCCAGGGCCGGCGGCAGCTTGTAGGCCGGCACGACCCAGCCCTTCTGCCGGAGGGTGTGCATGATGTCGTACTCGTCGAAGTTGAGCTTGCCACCCTCGATGGCCTTCAGCCGCAGGCACACGAGCGGGAGGCCCTCGTTGTACTGCCGGTGGATCTCCGAGAGGATCTCGAAGTAGCCCGTGTCCTTGAGCAGGAACGACAGGAACCGCGCGCCCTCCAGGCACGACGTGATCACATCGCTGTAGCCCTCCTGTATTGTGTATTGTGTGTGTGTGTGTTTGTGTGTGTGTGTGTTTTGAGTGCACGTAGGCCATAAACGACAATGCTTGCGGTCAAGTATCGTTGAAGAGGTGCGTACCCGACCGAGGCGCAGGAAGTTGTAGTACTGGCCCAGCACGCCGAGCGAGCTGCGGGAGAAGTTGAGGTTGAAGGTGGGCTCGTCGCCGCCGAGGTAGTCCAGGTGGAAGACCAGGTCCTCGGGCAGGTCCTTCTCGTCGCGCCACACGATCCACCCGATGCCGGGGTAGACCAGGCCGTACTTGTGGCCCGACACGTTGATGCTCTTCACCCGCGGCACGCGGAAGTCCCACTCCAGGTAGGGGAACACGAACGGCGCCACGAAGCCGCCCGACGCCGCGTCCACGTGGATGTCCACGTCAATTCTGCACCACCCCAGTCAGTTGTGTGTGTGTTGTGTGTTGTGTGTGTGTGTCGTGTGTGTACCCTTTCTCCTTGGCGAGGATATCGAGCTCGCGGCTGAGCAGCTTGACCTTCTCGAAGTGCCCGGTGAAGGTGGACCCGAGGATGGAGAACACGCAGATGGTGTTCTCATCGACGTACGAGACGGCCTCCTTGGCCTCCATCATGTAGTGCGTGGTGTCATGGATGGGCACCGCGCGCGGCTCTACATCGAAGTACCGGGCGAACTTCTTGACCACCACTGCGCATTGGTCGGCCATAATGTGAGCTTTTTACGCCCAGAACACCTCTGCACGTGCGTACCGTGGGCGTTGGTGCCGAAAACAATGTTGGGCTTGTCGGTGGGCTTGCCGAGTGCCTGCATCTTCTTCCGCCACCTGAACTTGGCGGCCAGGCACCCAAGCATGATGGCTGTACCTCCAAACGACCCCGGCTCAGCGGTCAGGGACCATTACACATGGGAAGAGGAACTCAACAAGAGAGGGAGACGCACCCTCTGAGGAGCCGACGCAGCTGGTACCGGTCGGCTTGCCGTCCTTGGGGGCGTTGTAGAGGCGGGCCAGCATGTTCACGCACCGATCCTGGACCTCCACCGTTTGCGGGTATTCCTCCTACCGCGCGCACACATGTCTGCTCAGTCCCGAATGTTTTTCGGCTTTCCCACCGTTTTCCCAAGCGAGTCGGAAAGTCACAAGGTACCTTGTCGACAAAGTTCTTGCCCAGGTTCTCGGTCATGAGCTTCTCGGCCTCGGGCTCCATCCACGTGGCGACGAAGGTGGCCATATTCTGGATGGGCTTGCCCTCCAGCTCCAGCTCGTCCTTGATCAGCTGGTACACGGCGTTGGCCGGCGTGGACGACTGGGGCATCTCATACTAAACCAGTCCACAGGCCAGCGTGAGTCCACTGCCGCCAGCGCTGGTAGGCAAGACGCTGAGGAGGAGGGGCGAAGGTGTGGTACCTTGGGGATGTCCTTGTCGGTGAAGCGGGAGGCAAAGGCGAGGGAGTGAATTTCGGGGCGAGGAGTGCCGCCGCCCATGGCGGATGCCTTCTCGCGGTTCTGGGCGGAGAGCGCCTCCACATTTACGTGTCCTGACAGTCTCGGCATCGTGTGTACAGTGAGTGGTGTGTAGTTTGGTGTTTGTGTTGGGTTGTATGGAGTGAGTGATAAGGCCCGCAAGAGCAAGGCCGCACTGCGGCAGCTCGCTGATTTGTGTCGACGAGCCAGCAAAACCACACCGACGACTTTCCACCGGAAAAGGGGTGCCTGTGTCGACACAAAAACTACGTTGATCGTGAGCCCGCCCCTTCCTGCCTCTTCTCCACGAAGTGGTGCGTGTGGCGCCCGCAGACTGGCGAAGAGAGAGAGAGAGAGAGAGCTCGGACGCGTGTCCGTGTATTATGGTTGAAGGTGGGTTCAGAGCAGAGGAATGGAGGTGTGAGGCGCGGACCTGCACGGGGTGTTCACAGCGTTTCAGGCGAGGGGAGGGCGCAGGGCGTGGGCGCGGGGGAAGGCCTGCTCCAGCAAGCGGGCGGCGGCGAGGAGGGTGCCCTCGTCCATGTAGCGGCCCACCAGCTGCAGCCCCTGCGGCAGATTGCTGGCGGCCGATTGGCGCACAGGCACCGACACAGCCGGCAGACCTGGTGGTTGTTGTTGGAGCGAGGTGCGCACCTGGTGTGAGCAGTGCAGTCCACCTAGCTCTCTGGGTTGGGGAGGAGGGTACCGGCCATGGAGGCGGGGATGGTCATGATGTCGTTGATGTACATGTCCACGGGGTTCAGCTTTTCGGCCAGAGCAAAGGCGGGTGTGGGCGCCGTAGGGTGGAGCAGCACGTCTACGCCCTGCCCAAAGGCGGTCTCAAAGTCGTTGAGCACCAGCCGGCGGATCTGCTGCGCCTTGCGGTAGTAGCTGTCGTACAGCCTGGAGAGAGCGTGCGAGTCGATGACGACGACGATGATGATGATGTTAACAACCCCTCCAGCCTACAGGGCCATTGACTGAGGCGGGTGAAACGAACCTCCGCGAGAGGGTGAAAGTGCCCAGCAATATCCGCCGCTGTACTTCCTCTCCAAAGCCTTCGCTTCGGCTGCTGGAGTACATCTCCGTAATGGAATCGCCCGCTCCTCGATAGCCTGCACGCGTCCGATGGCGCCACGTGTCAGCAGCAGCATTGATGGCGACTCACCCACAAGAGCTTGGGAGGTGATTGGTGCTTTACCGTATCGAAGGCCATCGTAGCGGGAGAGGTTGGAAGAGGCCTCGGCGGGAGCGAGGATGTAGTAGGCCGGGAGGGCGTACTGCGTGTGCGGCAGGGAGATCTCCACCACCTCGGCGCCCTGCTGCGCCATGGCCTCAGCACCCTCCTCCCACAGCTTCCGCGTATCCTCGGACAGTTCCTTCACCAGGTACTCCTGCGTCCACAGCACAACGCGGTGAGGTCGGGCTTCATTGAGCGCGAGTGGGAGGCCGATGCGAACGAACCTTGGGTATGCCGACTCGCAACTTGCGTGGCTGGTTCATGGACTTGACGTAGTCGGGCACCTCGATATCAACCGACGTCGAGTCTCGAGCATCCATGCCGGCCAGCACGCCTGTGTAAACGAGCAGAGTTACTTCAATGGTGATGTGTACTGCGTTGTTGTCGGTTGTGAAGTGTACCGAGCATGATGGCGGCGTCTTCCACGGTCTTGGTGAGCACGCCGGGCGTGTCCAGGGAGCTGCCGTAGGCGACAAGGCCCCACCGCGAGATGCGGCCGTACGAGGGTTTGAATCCCACAACGCCGCAGTAGGCGCCCGGCAGCCGCACCGATCCGCCTGTGTCTCCACCCAGCGCGCTTCGCCACGGCGTGTTTAGCCGCAGGGCCAGGGCCACATGACCTTATCGGTGTATGGAACGAAGCACAAGCAAGTGTACCCGAAGCACGAGTCGCTAGCCACGGCGGCCGCGCTGCCGCCGGAGCTTCCACCAGCCACAAAGGCCTCCTCTGGCTTCGTGGAGGGGCTCCACGGGTTGATCACGGGGCCAAAGTAGCTTTGTGTGTTCCCAGACCTGTGCAGTGCCACACACGTCAGCTGATGGCAAGAGGCTTGTTGTTTGTCACGTGGTCGATCCCGACGGCGTACCCCATCGAAAACTCGTCCATGTTGGTCTTGCCCATGATAATGGCGCCCTCCTTGCGCAGAGCGCTCACCACCGCAGCATCGCACGGCGGCCTGTGATCTGTAGCCCGGGTACATGTAAAGAGGTGTTTGACGTCAGCAAACTAGTCCTTAAGGCCAAACAAACAAGGCCCTGAGAGAGCGATGTAAGCAGTGTCGTGCCCTTGAGCATACGCGATGCGCACGTCGTCGGCAGGTCGTGCGTGTTGAACGAGTCCTTGACCGCCACCGGAATGCCTTCCAGCTTGCCCACCTCTGTGCAAGGCCCACCGGTAAGACTTCGGTCAACAAGCGCCCCTCACGACAAGGGCGGAGGCACACAGGGACGGACTGTAGTGATGTTTGGGGAGGGGGGCATATACGGTGGCCGTCCCGGCGGCGTTTGTCGGAGAGAGCGGCAAGTGAAAGAAGGTGCTCGTCGGAGTGGCGAGACACGAAGGCGTTGAGGGTTGCCGTGTGGTCGGCCTGCAGCAGGCACGCTCGCGTGACCTCCTCCGACGTGGTGCGCCCCTCCGCCAGAGCGCGCCCCACATCGGCCAGAGATTGCCGCACTAAATCCGCGCTGCCTCCGGAGGTGCCGCTGTAAAGTCTACGCGAGCCACAATCGCTCGTCTCACGGAAGCAACAACGTCGGGCTCCTCTTGAAAGGCGGTACACTGCGCGCCCGCCCTTCCTTGTGGCCTCCATCTTCGTGCTGCAAGAAAAAAGGAAAAGGAGAAGAAAGACTATTTTCCGTGGCAAAACTGTGTATTTCTTTTGTCCACAAGACGAGAAGAACACGACGGTGGGGTTGATCTCAAAGGGTGGAACTTCTGGAGGAGTCCAGGCTCCGTTTTGGCGAGCGCAAGACGGCGTCTTTGTTTTCGCGTCGTTGCTTGGTCGGCAGTCGCGAGATCTCGGAGCCCGATGGTGCTCGCCCGGCCGTCCAAGCCTGCCCTCCTCTCTCGATCTTGTCGTACCCTCGCTTCTGCTCGATCTCGTCCTCGTTGTTGGTGTCTCCATCGCTGTACTCTTCGTCGCTTTCGGGGTCCACCATCAGCGCCTCGCGCAGCTGGCGCTGGTGCTCGTGAGTGAATCCGATGGCCACCAGGTACCCGCGCACATCGCCGTACGACTCTTTGATGTACTCGAAAGTCTTCTCCATCGCGTGCCTGATTTGATTCGAGGGCGGCGTGAGGAATCAATTGCAGAGTTGAGGCGAAAGGCTAATCAGAAGTGCGATGCAGGGCTGGTGTGTACCGCGGGGTGCCATCAAACTCCTCGGAGAGACCTCGCTTTCGGTCCTCCTCGGCGATCAGTTCCAGCACGGGTGCGAGGTAGGTCTCCGAATCGGCGTAACTGTCGAGAATCTCCTCCTCGCTCACCCCGCACACCGATTGGATGAGGGCGGCGATCAGGCCCGTTCGGTCCTTGCCAGACGAGCAGTGGAAGAGTACTGGATGGTTCTGGGGATCGCTGCACAGCATCAACACCTGTGCACGCACGCATTGAAGCCGCAAGACGCAGGAGGAGTGAGCTATACAAGCCATGCGGTATGGTTCATTCATGAGAGCTGAATAACCTTCTTGAGTAGGGCCGCCGATTGGGAGAGCATGAGTATGTACAGGCTCACGAGGCCGCGCGGACTCACCACCTCGCGGCAGAGCATCGCCTTTGCGGATTTCAACCGGCCGGTGTCCTCCCCTGGGGATTGATGCCGTCAGAACTAACCCTCACGCTTTAGAGAGGGGGGAAGGTGGTGTACCTGCGGCGAAGAAGGCTCGGAGGACGCGGGCTTTGGTGCCGGGAGAGGCGGGCAGCACGAAGCCTTTGAAGAGGGTCGAGTAGGAGAGGACGTTGGTGTGGAACCTCTGTCGCCCCTCAGCAGCCCGCTTCTGCGTTAGTGGAACCGTCGGATAGACCTTCTCCACCTGCTTGTCGTGCTCGTCAGACCTGCATCCGACCGTTCATTACCACACCCGCTCCACTACGTCAATCCAACTTTCCTTCGCCAGTATTGAAAGGGCTACAAGCAGTACCTCTTCTCGGTGTTGGTGCGGAGGTCGATGAGGGTTTTGATGTTGAGGCACTCGGCCCAGAGGGCGAGGGTGCCCTTGATCACCTCGTCGCACGTCACTTTGCCCCTCGACACCGCCGCACTGCGGTACACCAGCCCTTTCCGCATTCCGCTCTCTCCGCCTCTGTGTGCGCACGCCATTTCGTATTTGTAAGAATATATTTATTTATTTATTAGAAATTTATTATTATTATTAATAGCGGGCGAGCCTCAAGGAGAAGTAGTGCACGTGCATAAAGCAATAGCCCGCATGTGGTCTCATAGCAAAAGATGGGGAAGATGAAAGGCAACATTACAGCAAAGAAGGACCACGAAAAGAGAAAGGAAGGAGAAGTTGGGAGGAGGGGGGGTTTACTTGGGCGTGCAGGCAGCGACGTCGCGGAAGTTGTAGAGGACGGACTTGCCGGCAAGTCGCACGCACGCGTTCTCCTGGTCCCATCGCACGTCCTCGTTGTCTTTGTCTTCCCATTCCTCCTCCTCATCCCTTTGTTCATCTGCCGTTCGCATCGCTTCCTCCGACCTGTTCACGGGTTGCCGGCTCTTTGTGTTGCTTGATACCTGCCTGCGCGACCACCAAAATGAACTCTCTCTCGGAAAGGGAAAAGAAAAAAAAAGGAAAAGAAACATCGAAGATTGCTTCGACGCGAAGACTTGAGATGAGCTCGTCCACGGATGAGTTGAAAGCAACACTTGCTCTTCCCGGCAACAATGTACGTGCTCGCCACACTTTGGGCGAGCAGCCAGGTTCGTGACGGAGAGGGGGGGGGGATTATTACAAACACGCGCAGGCGTGCTTCGAGTGTGGCAAGTCGGCCCCCACATGGGCGTCTGTGACGCTGGGCGTGTTCATTTGCATCAACTGCTCGGGCAAACACCGCTCCCTTGGCGTCCACCTCAGTTTTGTTCGGTTTGGACCCCGCCCCTTTGTGGCCCCGCGTCTGGGCGAGAGCGTGCCTGATGGTGGACGTGCTTAGGTCCGTGGAGTTGGACAAGTGGACGGAGAAGCAGACGACATCGATGCGACTTGGCGGGAACAGGCGACTGGACGAGTACCTCAAGGAGCACGACCACTCCTCGCTCTCGTCCGACCTGCAGCAGAAGTACGACAACACCGTAGCCGAAGACTACCGGTTCATGCTGGCCACGGAGGTCGCACAAGCGCTCGGGTACCGTTCCCCTGTGCAGCTCTCTGGCGCGTCGTGTGCGGGGCCATTCCTGACTCCTCCTTTTCACGCAGCCTTCCACCACCCGAGAAGATCGTACCGCGAGAGCGCCTAGCCACGCAGAACTCGGCCCTGAACAAATACAAAGGTACAACGAACTCCACACCCACGCGTGCGCGCACACACTGGCTCATAGGCTCGCCTGCAGCTACACTAACGCACATATCCGCCCGCTCGAGTAGGAGTGCAATCCATCTCGAGCGACCAGTTCTTCGGCAAGACGGACATTGCGCCTCGACAAGGGTCCACCACGCACAACGGCTACCAGCGATTTGATGATGATGGCGAGCCGGCCTGCTGCGGTTGCTGCTGAGCGTCTGCACCGTGCGACGAGTGGGCGGGGACCTTGAGTCATTGCGGTGTACAGATGAAAGGTGAGGGAGGAATTATTACAGAGCTGAGTGACCCTAGAGCGCTGCTCAGATCTTGTGGTGGGTGAGGGTGTAGGAGACCCACGCGAGCACGGCGCCAATAGGCGGGCCTACAAAGTAGATCCACTGGTACTGCCAGTAGCCGCACGCGATGGCCGGTCCCAGACTTCGTGCCGGGTTCATGGACGTGCCTGTGAGATCGCCGCCCAGCAGGATCAGCGTTGCTGGTGGTCACCACCGCGGTTAGCGGAGGTCCACCAAGACGCTCGAGCGCACAGGAGCGAGCACGGGCCATGTGGGGCGTTGACTGAAAAGAGTGTGTGGCCGTACCCACTGTGCAGGCCACGGCCAGGGTGGAGAGGGCATTGCGCTCCTTGGATTTGGAGTGAAGGCCGGTGGTAAGGATGACGTAGATGAGGACGCCCGTCATGATCGCTTCCATGCAGATGGCCTTCCATATACCTATCGTGCGGCGCAGCGCGGTAAGAATCGTGTGCCATGTGTGTCGTGTCGTGTAGTGCCATCCTCACATGGGAGGAGGTGCGGACCCATGGGGTTGTGCCAGGCCTCCTGTACAGTGGTGACGGCGCAGTTCATTTTCTCGGTCTCGGGGAGTAGGAGGAGCATGAGGTAGGAGGCCACGGTCGCAGCGAAGCACTGCACGAGGGTGTGCAGCACCAGCAGACTCAAGCACGTCACCCCGCTCAAAAACATGACCAGGCTCACCACTGGATTGAAGTGCGCTCCAGAGAACGGCACGAAGGCCTCCACGATGAAGATGATCACCAGAAAGAACGCCATCGAGTTCACCTCCTTCGTCGCTCCCCGCACGCCGATACCGCATCCTTGTGTGCACACGCCGACCGTCCGTGCCGCGTCAGGCCCAACACACCAGGAAAAAAAGAACCAAGAAAAAAAGAAAAGCGGAAAAGGAAAAGAGGAACGACGAAGGAGAAAAGTGAGGGGGGGGGTACCGACGAAGACCATGAGGAAGGTGCCGAGAAACTCGGACCAGAGGGAGATGCCCCAGTCCTGCCATGTTTGTCGGTCGCCATAGAGCCACACCCGGCTGGAGCACAGGTTCTCCGCGGTGCAGGCTGACGCAGCCTCTTGCGAGGCGAGCGGCTCGCTGGTGGTGAAGTCTTTGAGGTGGCGCAGCTCGTCATCCGTTACGTGCAGGGCCGTTGCGCGCAGCCCTCCTTCCTCCTCGCCGGTGCCGAGGCAAAGGGGCGGTTGCTGGATGCAGCCGCCGGCAGTCGACGTAAGCAGGTGTGCTCGTTCGGTGGGGTTGGTACGGAAGGCCGCCGTGAGGCGCTGTACGACTGACATGTCCTCCTTCGACTTCTTCTTTTCTTCTGCAAGCTTAGCTAGGGCGGGATGATAAATTTCACACCACCAGAACTTGCACGCGTCCTGGCCGCACTCGGCTTACTCGGGATGACTGCAGCAGAACCGATTGGCGGGGCTTCACTTGTCTGGGTGGGTGGTAATTCCAGCGTGGCAAACAACCACAACAACAACTCGAACAAGTCCGCAAGGGAGTGGGCGCCCCCTTGATTGATAGGGGAGGCGCGGCGCGACCTTGAGCACCGTGGCCCGCTCGTGCAACGCCTCTCTCACCACCTGGTACGTCCTGCTCGTAGTCCAGGTTCTCGATGGCCTGGTTGTTTACGTGGAAGACCCCTCCCCTCCTCAGATCGCGGTCAAGTCCTCCACTTGCTCTGTCTGACACACTCCATCCATCTTTCTCTCTTGGCAGCTTGCGTGCGAAATCTCCCATTGGCATGCCCACCTGGAGACTAGAGGGGACTACATCAAAGTCGCTGCACGACATCAAGTTTTCACCACTGCGGACCAGCAGGTGTTCTGCTCCCCCCACACCACACCACTGGTCCTTTGAACCTTACTTTGGACTCACATCTCCACCACTCTTTGCCATCAGCTCTCCGACATTGTGGTATGAGTTGTGGGTAGTATTCCAGCAACAACTCGAACAAGTCCGCAATGCAATGGAGTGGGCGCCCCCCTCAACAAGACAGCGGAAAAGAAAGGTCGGGACTCTCTTGGCTAAAGCTCGATGTTGTTGGGAACGAGCGGGGTAGGGAGCACTCACAAGCCGCCAGCAGATCGGTGGGTGGGGATCTTGCGTTCCATCGACCGGGCGCGGCGGTACTTGTCGCGTTCCTCGTGCGTGTCAATGGCCGCCATCAACTGCGTTACCCAAAGGTACATAAGTACCACAGTGGTTAGCTGTGGGATGTCAAGTACAGACATTGTGAAGTGCTTGTACCTCAAGGAACTCGTTGAACTCGATCACACCATCCTTGTTCTCGTCGATGTAGTCAAGCCGTGCATCGATTTCCGTGTCTCGCATATCCTTCTTCTCCTGCAAACGAATTATATTAGTTTGGCACAGCGCCCAAGATGACGATGTACGTGCAATGCTGCGGCACGTTGAAGATTCAAGGAGGCACCGATTTGACGAATTCCTTGAGCTTTTGCTTGGAGATGTGGCCCTTGTGCTCAGTATCGATGGCATCAAAGCATTCTCTGCACCCGACCAATCTCGTCATCAGCGATAGAGTTAAGGAGAGATACAATACTGACGGCTGAAGGGGTACCGGTAGTGGAGGATGTCCATGTTGTTGAAAACGCCGCGCGAGTTGATGTCTTCCAGGCCCATGGTACGCAGGAACTTCTTGGTGTTTTCGTACCTGAAGGAGAGCCGTCGGGTTCAAGCAAATGAGAGACAGGAACAGCAACAACGCCAACCAAGCCAAAGCCACGGGCGTACTCGTGCTTCTTCCTGGCGTCGTCCCAGCGGAGCTCTTCGGCCATGATGTCAATCACGCGCGGCAAGACATCCAAAGCCACGTTGGCATTCAAAAACGCCAGACGCGTGCGACGCGCCAGTACGTCCTAGCGGAGGGGTAGGATCGAAATTGCCTTAGCCGAGTCATGGCTACAGGACCTCCGGGGGGTTAAAGCTCACCTCTGCCGTGCAGGCGTACTCGTGGTGCACGGCGTGTCGGACTTCCTCCTCGAGGTAGGGATAGCCCTCGGCCAGCGGCCTACCAAGCACTGGCCACCTACGGTGTGCGGACAACGTGTGCAATTGGGTTGTTAGCGCTCGACTTCACCAATGTGCATGCGCTCTTTACTGATGTTCTCCAGGGCATTGACACAGACACGCGCATTGCACAACCGCGCAAAGTGTAATTGGGCATAGCATGGAGGAAGAGACGTACCGCTTGCCAGTCGGTGTCGCCACTTTAGCCACCTCAAAGGCACGATCGCCATACGTGCTGGCGAGGTGTTGTGCAACCTGGACGTATCCTCGTCAATGCAAAGGCTTGTGGTGTACACTCACGCAGGTGAATAAAGGACGCACCTCGCGCTGGATACCGTAATTTTGGATGAGCTTGATGAACATGGTCGGCGTCCAATCTCTAGCGCCAAGGAGGTACACATCTGTAGTCACACAGATGTTGCGTGGCTTGAGGCCGTACTCAGCGATCGCCTTGTCAACGGCTTCCTCAGCCATCTCTCTGAAGGTGGATCAATCTTAAATATAAGTGGATGATCCTGGATGCGTGCTGTCGTTTGAGGAGGTATGAGCAACCTGTAAGTGGTCCATTTTCCTCCTGCGATGGTCAAGAGCTTGGAATCGCTGATGGTGATGATGTGATTGCGCGCGAGACCTTGACCAGATGAAACCAAGATTGTCAGTGTACATCTTTAATTATGAAACGGTGGATCTTGATGCCTGTAAACTTACCTTGGGTGCCAGCCTTGCCCAGTTTAGTAGGATCCTTGACGAGCGGCCGGATGCCGCTCCACGCCGCCAACACATCTCCTCTTCGCACGGTGACATCCTAATTCAATTAGGGCACCAATGGAAGACGAGAGTAAGAGCCTTGCGTGTAAAAGAAGTGCTGACAGAAGCGAAGCGGCCGAACCTGGTTGAGGTAGTTGGACACCTCTTTGAGGATGAACGAGATTTCCTCCTCCAGTGGCCTCGGCTGGTCAGAGAGGGTGGTGGGAGTATCTGTCGTACCGCTGATGGTGTTCCCTTCCTGTCAACGACGATTTTGTGAGGGGTCATCACGCGCAGCAAGGTGTCGGACTGGGTTAGGGTGGCTAAGTACCCAAGGCAAAAAGAAGATCACTCGTCCATCACTTGTGGCCGGATCGAGAAGGCCCATGTCGCGGGGAGAGTAGTAATCCGGAAGTACGATATGCACACCCGCACTGGGGATGACCAAGTTCTCGCACTTATCGCCCTATGTACGCACTCTCCTATCAGTCTCCCGACAAACCAGTAGGGTTAGATGCCGGCCACTCTAGGGAAGGGACAGATACCTCATCCATTTTGCGAACTGCGTCGGTGAAGGGGCCAGTGGCATTGATCACTCCCTTGGCTTTCACCTCCCAGGTTTTCCCGCTGAGCGTGTCGCGGACGACTTACACCAATAAGAAGCATCAATAAGCATGGACTATATATCTATACGCTTAGCGTGATGTTTTGAAAGAGAACGACCAAGGTACCTGCTCCGGAGACGACTTCCTTCTCCTTGCCGCTCTCATCCGTCACCTTAGCCCGAATAAGGGAGACTACCTGCACGCAGGGCATCAACACAAAGAGCACGCACGCACACGGCAGTTTCGTGAGGGAGCGCACCTCGACGTGATTGGCCACAGTGGCCCCGTACGTGGCGGCGGTCAATGCAAGAGCAATGTTGGTCCGCGAGTCATTGTGGGCGCCGTCGTAGTATACCATTGCGCCCACGAGCGAGTCGGAGCGCAGCATAGGGAACTTTTCCAGTGCCTTGCCTGGAGGTTTTTCGCAAACCGATCGGTCAGGAAGCCAGGCCACCAGACGCAAGAAGGGCTGAGAGCCCTGATGCAGGGTTGGGAGATCGGACCTTTGGACAGAAAGTAGCTGCTTTCCAGACGCTGGCTGCCAGCGAAAACATCATACAGCTTGGAGCCTGCCCAGAAATAGGGGACCTACATTATGCCGCATGGCGCAGTCTACTTAAGTATCGGGCACATACACGTGTGTGTAGAGCAGAGAAAGGGAGGCAGCGCAACGTACCTGCCACCACTTGTAGATGGGCAGCATGATGGGCATTTGATAGGAGAGGTGCGGCGCGACCTTGAGCACCGTGGCCCGCTCGTGCAACGCCTCTCTCACCATCTTGTACTGCTCGTAGTCCAGGTTCTTGATGGCCTGGTTGTGTACGTGGAAGAAGCAGGCACAACAGGCGGCCAGGAACGTCGCGCCGCGGCATTAGTCACAGCAGGGAAGGCCACCGAGCAAAGGAGTCCCTACCTTCTCGAGATAACGCACTCCGCCGTGGACGAGCTTGGTGCTGCGCGAGGAGGTGCCGGAGGAGAAGTCGTACTTCTCCACGAGGGCGATGTTAAGGCCGCGTGTGGCCGCATCCAGGGCAATGCCCGCACCGGTGGCGCCACCGCCCACAACCAGCAGATCAAACTCCTTTCCCTCCTGCAGCTTCGCCAACTGCTCATCCCTGGATGATATCATCCACCAGCATGGAACGAAATTAAGAAATCGTTAGCGATTACAAATCGGAGAGGCTGAGAGAGAGAGAGAGAGAGAGCTCGGCATACCTTGTTGGCACGGTGGTTGCAGGTGCGGGGAAGTCGGGGATTAGCGTCGTTTTCCGTGGGCCGGTGAGTGAGGTCGACGCGTTCACACCAGTAAAGGGCGACGAGGCGTAGAGCAGCAAGCCACCAGCCGCCACCGCACTTCCTACGCCGGCGTAGATCGTGACCCGCTTTAATCGACGCCACATGTTCTGCTGCTTCTCTTCTTCTTGCTCTGAGAACTGTTCTGGTTCTTGGTCCTGTTCCCCTTCTGTGGGGACTGCGCAGTTCCTCTCCGCTCTGCTGCTCGGTGCGGTTAGCCTCGAGAAAATTGAGAGAAAATACGATTTCTCGACCTCGGCGCAGGTCTACTGAGTAGTGTACAGACGAAAAGTTGGTGTTTGTCAGGTAGACGTGCAGCAGCTGCACAACTTGCTGAGCTTGCGGTAACACTTGAAGAGCTTCCACCGTTGCCGCCACGTCAGCCCTGAAAGGCAGGCAGGTATCATGGTGAGACCTATGGTTGAGTCCGAGAGAAGGCAGGAGCGTTACCCTTGGTCATCTTGTGCGCCATTTTGGCTTGCTTGACCTTGCCCATAAGTGGCACCTTCTCGGAGGCATTCTTCTTCTTGCTCTTCTTCTTCTTCTTCTTCTTTTTCTTCGGTGTGTCCTTCGTCGTAGCTTTCTCCTTTGCCACTTTGGTGGTGGGCACCGGTGCGCTGGCGCTCATTGCCGGTGGTTGTCGAACGGCGTGTGAACCACTGCCGCCGTTGATGCCCGCAGCAGTAGAATAGGTGGTGGGTACTGCCCCTCCAGAGGCCACCATACTCGGGGCTACAGCCGTGGCCTTCTTTGTGTCCATCGGTGGTTTGTGCCGAAGGGCGCCCAAGGAAGAGAAGAAATTGGCATAGAAAATCATCATTTCCCGGCGTAAGGCGGTTTCGTTTCTTTTTCTTTGTTTTGAACGGGGGCCACTCGTGTGCACGGGGCAAGTAATGGAGGAGAGCGACACCGCCGCCGCCAAAGAATGGGTTGCCACTGAAGGGGAGAAGGACATTCTGCAGCGACTCAACGGCAATGATCCTGCACAACAACTCCGACAGGTGCCCCTTCCCCCCCATACCATTTCTTTTTTTAAAAGAAAACAGGCCCTAAGCCTTCGTTTTGGGCGTCGTCTGTGTACGCCGCCGCTCTGCTATCTCCAACGTGCGAGGTCTATTATTAACAAAGGCGCCTCATCCTTACTCCGCTAAGGTGCAAACGCGAGCCCACTTCGGAAGGGACCTGGTGCGGGTGCTGCTTCACGCTCTCGAAGAGGAGCTCTCCTCCTCGGCGCCGGACCAGGCTTTGCCTCTGCCGCTCAAGTTGGTGGTGGCCAACGCGCTGCAGGACCACATCCGCACGCGCTGGCACGAACCGACCATGCCTGCCGAGGACAAGCAGGCCATACGCGAGGGCCTGATGGATGCCCTCTTTGCACCAGCGCCAGCGGCGGCCAGCGCAGGACAGGGCGCCCGAGCCGAACCTTGGCGTACCATTCTCCATGGTTGCGTGCAGCGAGCGTGGGAGGACGATTGCCACGCTGCATCGCCCTGCAAGACCTTCCTCGACCGAGCCATGACGATCATCTTGAGAAGTGCAGCCTCCGTCGGCTCGGGTCACACCGTCGCCGCTAACACCGGTGACTCGGCTGGCGAAAGGGGACAGACGAAGGGTAAGGAAAAGGTGGTGCACCGCCGCTCCGAGAGTGATGCCGACTCGGTACGGCAACAGTCACCAGTCGACGGCCTCCTTCTCGAAGAAGCGCTTGCCGTTTTGTACAACCTCAACAAGCACTTCCAATATCGGTACAGTTTCTTCTCTCGAAGACCGCCTCTTTCCCGCGCGCGCGCATGTTGCGTTGTAGCCACCACTCATCTCACTCAATTTCAATTGAACACACAGCACGGCCTTCAATTCGGTCAAGCTCGAGATCGTCGAGCATGTGCTTCCCGTTTTGTTGAAGCTGTTCACAAGGCTCATGGAGGATAAGGCCAAGCTCGAACAACATACCACCCACATCCAATATCTGCTCAAATCCTATTGGGCACTCTCCCGCATGGTTCCTCCTCCTAACCCTTCGGTGCACCGGCGTCTCCATTTTTCTTGGCTCTTTATTGCTATGTGGGTGCGTGTTAGGAGTTGTGGAAATGTGCGCTAACTCTTCGATCCACCACACCGATACGTGCGTAGGGCGGAAGCATAGCGGAACAGAGCGCGGAGCAACAACGCGGGTGGAACGACCAAATCTCTGCCCTCGTCGACGCCACCCTGCCCTTTGAACGGTGGGATGTGTGCCCCGCGGATGACGACCTCTCCGCAGCTCAGCTGGCTTGGTGGAAATGCAAGCGATACGGCTGGATCGTATTGACCCGATACATGAATCGGAGGTTCGTGAGTATCGTGAGTGTGGCGAGTGTCGTGAGTGGCCACTCACGAATCGTTATACCACTCCCAGAGCGAGAAAGCAAGCAGATCGATTGGGAGCCGACGAGCGTATGCAGGCCCTGACCAAGATCTGCCTGCGATGCCTGCACGACTACTGTTCCAAACAGTGGAAACTCTCGCAGCCCGTCGTGGTTTCGCTTACAGCATTTCTGTTGAATTGGTGCCCACCTCCTGCCAACACCACTACTCATACTGACACGTTGATACCCGTGGCCCCGCTGTTACTCACAATGACATGTTGGCTGCAGCCTGGCACCGAAGGACACTCGAGCAATGATGCTCGAGGGTCAGGCTGATCGGCTCATTGACGATCTGGTCTCCATGTGCCAGCTCTCGCCTGTGCATCTCCAATTATTCTACGAACAACCGCTTGACTACTTGCGTCAGGAATATGGTACACGTCGTTTATTACAGCTGTCTTCCACCACAAGTTGCACTCACTGTGGTGACCTTTTGCGCCTCTACAGACATGGACAATATGTTCTCCAATGCCGCTTCAGTAGCAAAGAACCTGCTCAGTGATGTGCTGCACGATGACGTTGTCTTCGAGAAGATTCTTGCACGGGTCGAACTTGGGCTGAGAAGGTACGCGTACCCAAAAGCAAAGCCCAACGAAAGGATACGCGCATGAGCTCACTCACCCATTGCGCTCTGCTGCCGTGATTAATGGTTATTTTGTGCTGCGTGGGTGGCGCAATAGTGCTGATATGTTGCAGAAGGATGCGGCGCTCAGCATTCTCGGGTACATCTACTTCAAGGAAGATAGCGCTGCTTCAGCAGCGCGCATACTTGCCGAGCACGTTCTTCCCATCGCCCGTGACCAAACAGCCGACACTCTTCTCCGTGCCAGGGTACCATTTCCTTTTGCCTGCATTTGCTTGCCGTGCAAGCGTGCTGCACGATTGAGCCAAATAATCCTGATGATCATCTTTTCCAATTGCTAGGCCTGTTACGCTGTCCATGGCGTGAGTCGGGTCTTCCTCGGCATCGCCCATTTCACCAGCGACATTGAGGCGGTTGTGGCTGAAGCAACGCAAGTCATGCTGGTCTGCATGAAAGACGATGCCATCACCGTGCAGTTCTATGCAGCCATGGCCATCTCGCAGCTCGTGTTTGAAACGGAGAGCTCATCGGCTTTCATGACTGCTTTCCCCTGGATCCTCGAGACCATCATCAAGGTCCGCACACAACAAACAACCGGCCATTACTGCCTCATTACATCGGCTGGAGGGCAACCAACCAGTCTGGAGAGGCGCAATTCTTACCCCCTTACCTTTCTTATCGCGCAAGATCAGATCATCGAGGCGGTAGGGAACGACGAGCTGATTCCGGCGCTCAATTCGATCATCTCCCATCTGAATCTGCAACAACTGACCCAGTACGCGGTGGTACTGTGCAAGCACCTCACGGACGCCTTCAGCAGGGTGGCGAGCCGCGCTCTGGAAGACGACAACAGTGCTATGCTTGCCGTTGGCTGCCTCTCAGGTGCCGTTATTTCGCCCACGCTCAGCCGTGTGGACACGCCAAAGGCCTTTTGTGTAGTAATTTCCACAACCCACATGTGTGTTTCTGCAGCCTTGAGCGGAGTATTGGACTCGCTGTTCAACGTGAGACCCAAGGAGCACGACGATTCGGTTGAGTTCCAGCAACAGGTCGCAGCAGTGACAGCACTACTTGTGCCCTGGCTACACACGCTTTTCACCGGCCCTGGCGACAACATCGTACGATGCGCACACAGGACACATACACACACACACACACCGACGCGCACTTTTCCTCCCACAGCTTAACTCTTTCTTTCAATTGTCGCTACATCAGGTCGAGTTTGTGGAAGAGCTCATGCGTATACTGTCCTATCTCACGTTCCACGTCGTTCCCACTCCGGAAGACCTCTTCAGGTGCGGCGCCTAAAGCTGACCGGACAATTGCACAACAAATTTCTAATGGATAGCTCCGTTGCCTATCAAGCAGCTTGTTCATACCCCTGTGCGAGCTGATCACGAATCAGTACGAAATGGTCGATTGGCTCGATGAATTATCCATGCCCATGGGCAACTTCATCGCCAACGGCACCGCTCAATTCCTCAGCGAGAAAAGGTACATCGACCACTACTACCAGGCCTGTTCTCTCGCGAGCACATCCACAGTACGCTTATCCCCTGCCCTTGATGGCTGTTTCCCCTCCCAAGGACGAAGTCTGTCTGTCTGACCACACCGTGCTCGCCACGCATCAGCCCGACTTCGTGAACACGATCATTGTTCGGGCTTATTGCCGCATGGTGGGTGAATTCTTTGAGCACAGCAAAGGTACGTCAGAGTCCCCCCCCCCTCTCAATGCCTACACGGGCCGAACCATGAGCGCTCACCGGGGATCATCGGGTGATGGTGTTGTCTTTGGGTGCGTTCGACAACTTTGTTCAGAATACCCGGGATCAATCGACGGCGAGGTGGACAGGTTCTTGCAGCTGGTGGTGCGACAGCTTCCCAGCATCCGTCCGATCGAGAACAAGGGTCACGTGCTCGTTTGGGGCCTGAGTGTGGTGGCCCACGCACTCTACTACAATCCCACCATCACCGTGCAGTGCCTTGCGCAGCACGAGCAGCTCGACCTGGTCTTCTCGCTATTCTACGACCACTCGGACCTGGTGATCAACCGCTTCATGAAGAGCTCTCTTCTCGAAAAGGTGTTCGTGGCTGGCTTCTGCAGCCTTCTCTCGACCGTGCAGGAGTCAACGCCGCCGCAAGCTACTCGGTAAGTCGATCCATCCTTTCTGGGCACCCTAAGTCTCATTGCCCCCCCCCTCCGCCCACAAGGACCTGCATGCCTAATAACCGGTCTGGGCTAATGGCGCGTACGTGCGGTATGTCTCCAGAGCGCTCTTACCATTCCTACTGCGGCTGCTGGCCAAGCATCACGACCACTCAGTACAGAAGGCGAGGAGAAAAAGGATGTGGTCTTCCCACGACGGTGAAGAGGCCTTCAGCGAGGAGCAGGAGATGGAGGTTAGCGATAAGGACGAAGACGGAGAAGAGACCTCAAGCAAGCGGAAGAGGGAGGACAGCGTTAGGGGGGACTCGCCCGTCTTGCCCGCCAAGAGAAAGCGAAACGACGACTCGAGACTGGCGTTGGACGAGAGCGGTGATGCCATGGAATTCCTCACTGACCTCTACGAGGACGATGCGGCCGAAAAGGACAGCTTCACTATCGAGGAAGAGGGTAATGGCGAAGAGGAACTAAACGCCATGCTGCCAACTGCCGAGGGCGCCTATTTCGATCCCCTGGTACGCCCCTTTAGCTCTATGAACACTGTTTGCAACTAGGTAATGGTTGCTGCATTCTCACTTGCATGCAGGAGGACGAGGGAGGCCTGTTTGACGCTATGGGTAGCATTGTCGAATCTCCCACTCCAATGACGTCCCTCGATGTGTTTGGCATCTTCTACACCACAATTCAAGGTAAGTGGAGCAAGTTTCATGGCTGATGAAAATGATTCCCCATAACGCCAAGTCGTTGGCGTGCGTGCGTGCGTGCGTGCGTGCGTGCGTGCGTGCGTGCGTGCGTGCGTGCGTGCGTGCGTGCGTGCGTGGCTAATATTTGCTGTGCGAATCATTATGCAGAGCTCCAGACCAGAGATCTGCACACATACCACCTGCTCAGTGCCGCGTTGGACAGTAAAGAGCAGCAGATGATGGATGGTTTCTTGCAGCTGGGTGCTGAGCGAAGACAGCGCGTCAGTACGCATCCTCTCTCTCTCTCTCTCTACGAAAGAATAGAAAAAGCACCTTTGGTGTGGAGCTAACCATGCTCTCGTGGGTGCGCACAGAGTCCCTCAAGCAGATATGCGTGCAAGCGATATGCAGCTCCCCTGTGCTGTACGCCAAGGCGGAGCAGGAGGCCAACTGCCTGCCAGCTACGGTGTGGAGCGATGTGCAGGCATATCGACAGGTCACCAGCCAAGCGACAGCCAAGAGGAAGGGAGGGTTCTTATCGCCCCGTAAGCCACGTCACAAGAGCAGGGCCTCTCTTCGCTCCTCTTCGGCGATGGATGACGAACTCTAGGGTCGTCCAATCTCCTATCTCCTGAACTGGAATCATAAATACATCCTGGTGGTCGAAAGCGACACCTCCTTGTCATCCATGTAGCTATCGCCCACCAACCGGGCAAAATGAAAAGGATTGGGAAAAGATCCGCTAAAAGAAATATAAAAGAAAAAGAAAGCACCTCAAGATGGATTGAGTGCGCGGGGCGTGCGGCATTGCAACTCACGATTCTAGTGTATGCCCTCTCCCCAAATGTCAACTTTCGCATTGACCAAGATTAAAGAACTGCATCTACCTGCCTGCTGCCCGTTACCGCAGGTCCGCGAAACACGCGGCTCACTGTGTTGCGAGGTTTCAGTAAATACTCCTCTCGTTTGGCAGCTGTCAAGTGTGCGGGCCGCGACCCAGAGGCGTTGAATGATCTTGCCGCCACACGGTTACCCCAAAGGTTACGGGCAAGCCACAGTTTGGGTGTGGCAGCCAGCCTTGTTCTGGTCAAAAAAGAAGCAGGAATAACCGGTGCTGTGTGCATGCCTTACTGGCGGTCAGCCAGGTCCTGTCATCCACTTGGGGGGGGGGTGGTCGCTGCGTGTGTGTGTGTGTGTAGGCAACAACATTTCCTGTCACCACCAAGCACCAGCACAAGCACACGCTCCTTTTCATGAAGGCTGATCAACCCGCGCTTACCGCCATCATTCTGTTGTGCTTGGTGACCGCCTCCCAAGGTACGAAGTGTACTTGTGCGTGGCTCCTTTGTCTCTCCTTTCAACGACTGAGCCACTTACTTGCTCGAACACAACTTACCTCGGTAATGGGGGCTTTCTTGTGCTTGCGATGTACATCGGCAGGCGCATTCAACCTGACCCTCCTTCACACGGCTGACACCTCGTCAACTGTCACCGCCGCGGATGACTATGGGAAAGCCTGCCAGCCCGTCAACGACTCCACCTTCTCGTACACGAGCTTCAGCGACGTGAACTGCTATGGCGGCGCCGCTCGCATGCGCACCCTCATCGAGCGCGAGGGTGCGCGATCCAACCACGTCTTCCTCGTCGACGCCGGTATCAGCCTTGCATACTCCCTCTACTTCTACCTCTACAGCTCGCCGCTCATCGCCGACTACTTTGGCCTCCTCGGCTACGATGCCGTCTCCTGGCAGGCGGCTGACCTGGCCAGCCAGCTCCACGTGGGGGAGTTCATGCTGCGGGCCCACGACAACAACTCGGGGATGCAGTTCGTCTGCAGCAACATCCAGGGCTTCAACGCGCCCGCAGGGACCACCCTCTCTCGCTATTTCATCAAGACCTTCGCCGACACCGGCCACGAGGTGGGCTACATCTCGACGCTCTCGGCCAACGTCGCGTCGATGATCCGCGCGCCCAACGTCAGTGCCACTGACGAAGCCCAGGCGCTGCGCGAAGGTCTGGCCGCGCTGGTCAACAAGGGGGTCGACAAGGTCGTGGCCACCGTCAGCAGCAACGTCACGGCCGAGCTGGTGCTCACCTCCGTGCCAGGCATCGACGTGCTCATCGTGCCCGGCCAGCTCCAGTCCAACAACGCCTCCGGCTTCCTTGCCAGCCGAGTCGGACCCTATCCAATGGTCTACGAGACAGACTGGGGGCAGCCAGTCCTCGTCGTGTCCTCGGGCACGTTTGGGCGCCTGATGGGCGTGCTCCACATCGAGTTCGACGACCATGGGGTCATCACGGCGTGGTCGGGCGACTCCGTGCTCATGGACGACTCGGTGCCAGCCGACCCTTCCCTGCACGCCCAGCTGCTCAAGTTGGACCAGTCCGTGCAGGCCAGCTTCGGGACAGTGGTCGGGTGGACTGCGGTCAACCTATCGTACGACACTCAGTGCCTCCATGGCGAATGCGGCGTCGGTGATTGGCTGAGCGACTCCTATCGCGCATACGCCAGCGGCTCCCTGGGTTATCGCGTGCCCATCGGGCTGGCCAACGGGGGCGCCGTGCGGGGCGCCATTCCGGCCGGGCCGGTGACTCTGGGCCAGCTACAGCTGACCTTCCCTTTCGGCGCCAACGACCTCTACGTCCTCCGCATCCTCGGCCTCGACCTACTCGACGCGCTCGAGAACGGCCTCTCGCTGGCCACCGACCCCACCAGCGACCTCACGAACGGCGCCGGGCGCTTCCTGCTCCCCTCGGGTCTCCGGTTCTCGTGGAATCCGACTGAGACACTGGGAATGCGGGTGGTTGACGCCTACGTCGAGGTGCAGCAGGACGTGTGGCAGCTGCTCCTGCCCAACGAGAGCTACACTGTGGCCACCGACAGGTGGCTGGCCAATGGCGGGGACAACTTCACGATGATCCGGGAGCGCGCCACCCAACGCTACCCCGCGGGCGGCAACGTGAACGCGGTGCTCTTCCAGGCGCTCGCCGGCAACGCGACCGGTCTGCAGACCCAGCGCATCACCACGACCAGCGCGGCGTCGCGGCGCACCTGCCTCGCGGCCGACGGCTCGATCTGCAGCGGCAACGGGTACTGCCGCACAGGTGAGTGTCATTGCACAGTCGCCGAGGCATCGGGCACACTGTGCATGACACGCCCAGCCCAAGCCGACTCCTCAACAGACCACGCCATCGCCATCTCGCTGGGCGTCGTGCTGCCACTGTTGGCGGCCGTCGCGGTTACCGTCGCGGTCTGCGCCCTGCTCGTGCGGGCCAAGAAGAAGAAGGAGAGCGACAGCTGGGAGATCGACACGTCGGAGCTGGACATGGGCCAGCAGCTGGGCGCCGGCGGCTTCGGCCAGGTCTACCAGGCCGTGTGGAAGGGCACCGACGTCGCGGTCAAGGTCGTGCCAGCGGGCGATGTTCAGCAGGGCAAGGCCGTGTGCAAGACCTTCAAGCACGAGGTGCGGGTGATGCGCGAGCTCAGGCATCCGAACGTGGTGCTGTTCATGGCGGCGTGCACCAAGCCCCCAAGACTGTGCATCGTCATGGAGCTCATGGAGCTCGGCTCGCTCTACGACGTACCTCCCCACTGCACCCTTCCTCATTTTGGATCTGACAAAAAGGCCACTGACCTGGTGTGTGGGCCGCTGAATGCACAGCTGCTGCACAATGAGCTGGTGCCGGCCATTCCGCTGCAGTTCTGTCTGAAGGCAGCCTTTCAAGCTGCGCGGGGCATGTACTTCCTGCACTCGTCCGGCATCGTGCATCGAGATCTCAAATCGCTCAACTTGCTGCTCGACAGCAAGTGGAACCTAAAGGTACAAACAAAAACCCCATTGATGAACCGCGAACATGGACCTGTGGCTAAAATATGGAGGCGCAGGTCAGCGACTTTGGATTGACCCGGTTCCGGACCGACCTGAAGATGGCAACCGGCTGCAAGGCCCACGGTAACCCCACCCTCCTTCTCCTCATGCCTGTATACAGCTGCTTTGTCCAACAATGACCTCGAACACGTCACGGTGCGTGTCGGTGGTCCAGGCACCATCCACTGGGCTGCGCCCGAAGTCATTGAGGAGTCACCGCACATCGACTACAGCCTGACTGACGTACCTCCTTCCTGTGTCTTGATCAGGGCATCACTGACTCACTAAGTTGATTCTGGCATTGTTGTCGTCTTGGGCCAACCGCTCTGTAGGTATACTCGTTCGGGGTGGTCCTCTGGGAGCTCCTCACGCGAGAGACGCCCTACAGCGGAATGAGCCTGGCCGCCATCGCCGTCGGCGTGCTGCGCGACAACCTCAGGCCGGCGCCGCTCGATGAGAACCCGACCGCACAGAGATTCGAGCCGCTAGAGGCCATCATGGTCGAGTGTTGGCATCGGGACCCGGCCATGCGCCCCTCGTTCCACGACATCATGGGCCGCGTTTCGGCCATCGGCCCCAAGCCCGACGACGCCGCAGTGCGCCTGCAAAGGCAAAGCAGCAGCAGCAGCAGCGAAACTTCGCTGTCCTCCGACCACTACTCGTGGGGCCTCGACTCCCTGGCCGCGCCGGCCACCGACGTGGCGGTGACGGTGGCGTTCAGTGATGTGGCCGACACTGCCATACTCTGGGAATCGAATCCGCAGGCCATGCGAGAAGCCATGCTGTGCTACAACGAGCTCCTGCGCAGCCTTCTGGCTGCCCACCACGGCTACGAGGCCACGTTCGCGCAGGAGCCGCATCTGGACAGCGGCGAGGGCTACTTCTGCATGGCCTTTACCGACCCCGCCTGCGCCCTGCGATGGTACTCCCCTCCCGCCACCTGTTCAAAGTTTCAATCTCCTTGGCTTGACATCTGAGAACTTTCGGGGGGGGGGAGGAAATTAGGTGCGAGGCTGCGCTGGATCAGTTGAGCTCCGTTCCATGGCCCCGGCCGACATGTGGCCAACCTCGCGTGCGGTTCGGCGTCCACAGTGGTAGCGCAACACGCCACAGGGACCCGGTGTCCAGTCGTTGGGGATACAGCGGTGCGGCTGTCAACGTCGCCCTGGAGCTCACGCAGCACGCCGAGGGCGGCCAGGTGCTCGTGTCCGACTCGGTCGTATGTGCCATCATCGCTCAGCAGCCAAAGGTGGACTTCGATCAGCGGTTCCACACGGTGGGAGCCGTTCACGTCGAGGCCTGCGTTGCCGATGACCTACTCGACTCAGGAGCCGACACCGACTCCAGAGCGACACAAGCCGTCCAAGTGTTCGAGATGCGGCCGCTGGCCGCCGACGCCGACGACTCGATCAACGAGCTGGGTGGTAGCAAGCGACAGCTCGAGCGGGTCGCGATTGGAAGCGCCAACGCGTGCAGGTACATCGTGGCCCATGGAGACCTGACGCTCAGCGACCAGCCCGCCGGGCAGGGCGGCCACGGATGGGTTTACAGAGGCCGATGGCGCGGCATTGAGGTGGCGGTCAAGCGGCTGGCTGGCAAGCGGTTCGACGAGGAGAGCCGTCTGCGCTTCCGCGAGGAGGCGGCCCTGCTGGCTCAGCTGCGGCATCCGCACGTGGTGCTGTTCATCGGCGTGTGCCTGCGCGCGCCCAACGTGTGCATCGTGACCGAGTGGATTCCGAGAGGCTCGCTGCGCGACGTGCTCGACGATCCAGCGCAGGAGCTGGGCTGGCCGCTGCGACTCTCCCTGGTGCGGGGCATAGCCCTCGGGCTGGCCTTTCTCCACTCATGCGCGCCACCGATTCTGCACCGCGACCTCAACTCGTCCAACGTGCTCATCGACGACTTGTGGAATTCAAAGATCGCCGGTACGTTCACTCTCTTTCTCACCAGTTTAAGGTGGTGCATGGCTTACACTACTGGTTTCTCGTCCTCATCCTACATTGACAGACTTTGAGCTGGCGCGAATGAAGCAAGAGAACGCCACGACGATGCCCTGGTGCATGGCACCAGCGTGGACGGCGCCCGAGATCGTGCGGCGCGAGAGATACACAGAGCCGGCCGACATCTTCTCACTAGGCATCATAATGTGGGAGGTGGCCACACGCGAGCTGCCCTTTTCCGGCGACGAGAACGCTCGAGTGGCCCTCCACATCGTTGAGGGCAAACGGCCCCCGCTTCCGGCCGGTGTGCCTCCTGGCTACGGTGAATTGATGCAGGCTTGCTGGCACGAGCAGGCACTCCAGCGACCCAGCGCTGAGCAGGTCGCCAACATGCTGGCGCTCCTGGTGCAGGGTGGCAACCATTCTGAGGTGTAGGTTGGTTTACCAATTTGAAACAAAATCCTCTCCACATCCTCTTGAAGTGGTGTACATAAAACACAAAATGATTACAAGGAACATAGGAGGAAGGGGAGTTTTTATTTTAGCATTGAACATCAGGAGAGGTCAAAGACTGAACAACTCTGACCCAGGTCTGTAGGCAGAAGAGAGGACCATCAAGGAGGGGATTAGTGATGGGGTGAGCTGTGAGACCATCAAAAATCATCAAGTCACAGGTGGGCTGGGAAGAAGTTGTCAAGCCAGCATGAGCTTCAAAGAGCTCTGCCCATTCCTCAAGTTAGGTCCAGTCATTTTGAAAAGTGATTTTGTTTATCAGTTTAACCTCATAAAAATGGTTTTGTTAACACAAAA